AAAAAAAATCAAGAAAAAAAATCAGACTTGCATGTGTAAACACCACATTGTCTCCCTAGTTTAATTAACTGCAACAGTAAATAAGATTCCAAAGGTACAACAGACATTGTGAAAAGGAAAGAAATTGCTCAAGAAGGAAAGAAAAACTGTGATGAGGGAAAGGAGCAAAGAAGGAAGGAATACATACACAAGTTAGCGAAGATGTATATATGTACTTGTAGTTTCTATTCGGTCATTGAAAGGAATAGTGCTTAGATGACTTGATCAGTGTTACTGCTCACCTATATCTGGTGAAGGGAGCAACTACTTTGAAGATAATATGCAATGTAATAACCATTGCTAATTTTCTATCATGTTTTGAAATTCTGTATCATTTTTATTTTGTTTTACGATTGTGTTTAAATTAAAAATATATTGAAATATTTCTGAATAGTTTTTCTTAGTTCATTGAAAAGAAAGTTTTATGCTAACCTATTTATTTTTTGTAAGAAACATTCTTTTTTGTTTATAACTTGTACACTGAGTAACATTTTGCCCACTTTTAAGATTATGCTACACAGTGTATTAACTATTTTTTTTTGTAGCGGAGGGACAGAATCTTGAATCAGAATCAGCAGTTCAGGCTGGCCTTGAGCTTACTTTGTAGCCCAGGCTGGTCCTGAACTCGAAAAATCCTTGTGCCTCAGCCTCCTGAGCTGGGGTTACAGATGTGCCCCACCATGCCCAACTAACTATTGCTATTTTCTAATTATTTTGTTATGAAAATAAGTTTTACTTTTTTCACAGAAGAAGAGTGTTTTTAAGATATTTTCTTTGTTAATATTTAGATGTATTACCTAAAATTAAAATTTTTAAATGGTCAAAAATCTGAATAGCAATTTGTCCAAAGAAATTGTCAACACCACTAGGCACAAAGGAAATGCAAATCAAACCACAGTGAGATATCATCTCACCCCAGTTAGAATGATAAAAAAGATACTAAAGAACAAATTTTTGTGAGGATACAGAGAAAGGGAAACTCTTGAATAGTAATTGATGTGAGTGTAAATTAGAAAATTACAACTATTATGGAAAAGAATATGGAGATTCCTTTAAAAAGTAAAATTAGATCTACCCTATGATCCAGCAACCCAACTACTAGGCATCTATTTAAAAGAGAAGAAATTATGATATCAAAGAGCTATATATGCTCTTATTTATTGCTGTATTATTTCACAACAATCAAAATATGAAACTAGGTGCCAAGTGATGAATGAAGAGATAATGTGGCAAATACACACAATGGAGCAATATTTAGCTATGAAGAATTAAATTCTGTCATTCATAGCAAAATAGATGGAAGTGGAGGATATTCCATTGAATGAAAT